GCACTGGAATGCCCCATGATAGGTGACGATCGTCTGAGCATCAACTGTCGCATCATCCACTGTTAACTGTTGATAAGCTTGAACTAAGTCAAGCTTAGCAAAAATGTTACCGCGGCCCAATGAGTGCAGCAGATGCTGCACAACTGGAACCAGATATGGGTGGGGTTGTAAGGCTTTGTTAATTGTCGCCTTATAGTTGGTGCAGATCCTAATGGATCCGTCCGACTTTAAAGGGGTTTCCCACTTTGCAAACTCCACTGGCTCTAATATCCCTTGTTTAATTAATCTAGCTAGCTCTGCATCTACCTTAGCCTGTAGTGCAAAGGGAACCCTTCTTGCTTTAAGATGTATGGGCATAACACTAGGATCTAAATCAAAAGAAATAGGAGACCCGGTGTATTTACCTAAGGTATTGCTAAATACATCGCTAAATTCTCTGGTGAGGTCATTGAAGTCTCCGGTAGCCAGCGTTGCATGGATTCCTGTGATAGATTGCCCCAAAGCCTCAAACCAATCTAATCCCAGTAGGATAGCTAAGGGGTCTGACACCATGACCATAGGCAAATTACCTTTAAATTGGCCGTGTTTTACAAAGAAGGTACCACTTCCTTTAAGAGGAATTGGGTTATTCTGATAATCTTTTAAAATGCAATTGCATGGCGCCAGGCGACGCTTTGGGAAAGATGGTACCAGATGCTTGAGGGTGTCCCATGCGATAATGGATTTAGCTGACCCCGTGGGAACTGAATTGCATGTATGACCGTTGTAGGGTCCAGGGGTCAAGTGATCAGCTCTTGCGACCAAGCAAAATCAATGGGAAAAAACAGATTCACTCAAAAACCGTATTACTAATTCAACAACTGCAGGGATTTGCTTAACAACGGAGGCAAGAAAGGTCACAAAATGGAGCAAAATTAACTTTTTCAAACATCTCACTTAACAAGTAAAGTTGGGGGCTCACTTGCGGTCATAAGTGGAGGACTACCTGAAGAAGATATTTGCGTCTAGTTAAAGAGCTCCAAGCCTATCAGAGCATGCTTGAAGTCTGCAGTGAGAAGGTTCCTGGCGTATTCTCCATTTCCTCCTCAAGAATTGCTCTTGCCATCTGGTTGAAAGAATAATACAATAATACAATAGCAGAGCTGGAAGGGATCTTGGAGGTCTTCTAGTCCAACCCCCTGCCTAGGCAGGAAACCCTATACCATTTCAGACAGATGGCTATCCAACATCTTCTTAAAGACTTCCAGTGTTGGGGCATTCACAACTTCTGGAGGCAAGTTTTTCCACTGATTCCATTGAGTTCTAACTGTCGGGAAATTTCTCCTGCTTCTCTCCTTGATTACTTTCCACCCATTGCAACTTCCTCAGGTGCTTTGGAGAATAGCTTGCCTCCGCCTTCTTTGTGGCAGCCCCTG